ACAATATCTCTTAAAAAAAAAAAAAATTTAAAAAACCAAACAAAACCAATTCTGGTTGGCAGGTAACTCACAGCTATACTGTTAGTCTGAGCTGAGCCCTGGAACTCGGGCATTCAAGACCAGCCTGAGCAAAACAGTGAGACACCCCACTCCCCAATCACTACTAGAAATAGAAAAAGTACCCGGATGTCATGGCAGGTGTCTGTAGTCCCAGCTACTTGGGAGGCTGAAGCTCACTTGAACCCAGGAGTTTGAGGTTGCTGTGAGCTAGGCTGATGCCTTGGCACTCTAACCTAGGCAACAGAGGGAGACCCTATCTCAAAACAAAAACCAAATAAACTCAACTCCATTGACAAGCGCATGAAAGAACAAAACATTCAGGACAAAAGTTAACAGAAGAAGCCAAATGTATACTCTCAAAACTACAAAACACGTTTACAACTATTACATGGTAAAAGAGGAAGTAAAGCATACTGGGAGGCCAAGGTGAGAAGATTCCTTCCTTTACTTGGTTAAAATAATGAAAAGAAATGCTACCAAGTGAGAGAAACTATTTGTAAAGCATATATCCAACAAAGGACTAACATCTAAAATATATAAAGAACTCTTCAAAATTCAACAGTAGTTGCCCAAAGGCTGAGGGAGAGTTACCATTTAACAGATATGGCATTTCAGTCTAGGAAGATGAAAAAAAGTTCTAGAAATAGATGACTGTTGCAACAAAAACAAAGTGAACATATTTAATGCCATTGAACTGCACTTAAAAATGGTAAATTTCATACTATTAATTTTTACCATAAAAACCCCTCAGAATTGGGCAGCCTCTGTGGCTCAAAGGAGTAGGGTGCCGGCCTCATATGCCGGAGGTGGCAGGTTCAAACCCAGCCCTGGCCAAAAACTGCGGGGGGGCAGGGGGGAGACCTCCAAATTATAAAAATACAATCCAATTACAAAATGGGAAAAATACATGAAGAGGAATTTCACCAACAAAAATACAGATGGTACATTAAGCAGATGAAATGATGTTCGGTAGTCATTAGTGGAATGCAAATTAAAACCACAATGAAATTCACTACATACTTAACAGAATAGCCAAAATAAAACTAGTAACTACACTAAAGGCTGGTCAGGATTCAAAAAAACTGGATTACTCATATACTCCTGGGGAAAATGTAAAACATTACAGCCATTCTGGAAAATCATTTGGTAATTTCTTCAAAACCTAAACACGTCATTATCATACAATCCAGCCTTTACATTTATCACAGAGAAATGAAGACTTATGTTGATGCGAAGACATGTATGTGCATGTTTATATAGCCCTATTCATAACAGCCAAAACAATTCAGATGTCCTTTTTTTTGAGACCGAGTCTCACTTTCTTGTCTCTGGTAGAGTACCGTGGCATCACAGCTCACAGCAACCTCCAACTCTTGGGCTCAAGCGATTCTCCTGCCTCAGCCTCCCAAGTAGCTAGGGCTATAGACATCTGCCACAATGACCGGATCTTGCTCTTGCTCAGGCTGGTCTTGAACTCGTGAGCTCAAGCAATCCACCTGCATCTGCCTCCCAGAGTGCTGAGATTATAGGCATGAGCCACTGCACCCAGCCAGGTGTCCTTTAATAGGTGAAAGTGCTGAATAAAGTACAGCCACAACATCAAATACTACTCAGCAATAAAAAGATGCAAACTATTGCTACCTAGATTATTAATTATTACCCGGATGAATTTCAAGAGAACTATGTTGAGTGAAAAGACAATCCCTTTATGTTACTAATTGTGTAAGTCCATTTATGTAACTTTAATTCTTTTAATGACAAAAATTATTGTCAAGGGCTAAGGAGAGGGTCCAGGTGGAAGAAAGTTGATATGGCTATAAAAAAGCAACATGGGGATTCTTATGGTGATAGAAATGTTCTATATTTTGACAATATCCATATTCTGACTGTGATGTTGTACTACAGTTCAATAAGATGTTACCACTGGGGGCCAGATGTGGTGGCTCATGCCTGGAAACCTACCTCTGGAAGGCTGAGGCAGGAGGATTCCTTGAACTCAGGAGTTCAAGACTAGCATGAGTGAGATGCTGTCTCTACTAAAAAATAGAAAAATTAGCTGGGTGTGGTAGCTGGTGCCTGTAGTCCCAGCTACTCAAGAGAATTGATTGAACCCAGGAGTTTGAGGCTGCTGTGAGCTAGGCTGAGGCCATGGCACTCTAGTGTGGGCAACAAAGCGAGACTGTCTCAGGAAAAATAAAAAAAAAAAGCTGTATCACTGAGGAATACTGAGTAAACAATGAAAGAGCATTGAGATCTCCGTATTATTTCTTACAGCTCCATATGAATCTACTCTAAGAAGAAAAAGAAAAACACAGCAGGAAAAAATATACAGTACTATCACAGAAAGACCAATGGAGAAGGTAGAGAAAGAGGAGGAAGAAAAGTCTTAAGTGAATGTGTTCTAGCTAAAAAAGCTATTTATAATGATTATCCAAACAAACTGTATGCCTAGTTCCTCATCTACAAAAGAAAGGAATTAATCTTAATCGCTAAGATTTAACATTGTACGATTCCCCAAGTGCAAAATAGCTCAAGATTCACTGCGCTATTATTTCTATGAATTATACAAAATGATTTGAATTGAAATACACTGTAGATGTATGAATGTAGATAGAACATAAACTTTCTATTAGAAAAAGCACTAGAAAGTCAATCTGATAAAAGGTCATAATGGACGTTTTACATAAAACCCAATTTGCCTTCAGAATAATCTAAAGATAAAGTCAAAAGACGTAACAAAGAAATTAATTTAGACATAACTTCATGTTTAAGCTATCAGCAAGCTGGAGTTCACTTTATAGAATCATGCAGTTATACTGAACCTACAGCCTTCAGGCCATATCCTATTATTTGAGGATTGTTTTGCTAATTTCTGGCATTAGATTTCACAAAAAGTATACACACACCTTCTTTTTAGTTACCCATGTATTTAATGTGTGGCCTAAGACAACTCTTCTTCTGAAGTGCAGCAAAAAAGAAAAAAGGTTGAACACCCCTGAAAGAATCAACGATAAATTTTCCAAGTTGATTCAAATTAACCCATTCTATATTATATGTCCAAAATCTCACTTAACAATGATTTCTCATTTAGACATTTAAATACTTCAGTTTCACATTTTAACTACTTAACCCAGTTTAGCCAACAGAAACTAAAAGAGGAACAGTAAGTGAAAATGGTCTATTTTGAGGAGCTAATTTGTAAGAATGAAGAGACCTAAATTGGGTGTCAGAATTCTCCCCTTACTCTTTTGTGAAATAGCTAACTAACTCTAAGCCCTGGGACAAAGAAATGCAAGTTGAACTTCAAATATCTAGTAATACAAGAAAGTAAAAAATGCTTAAAAAATAATGGCGACGTGTTTAAAAAGCACAGTAGTTAGGTCTAACAAGTTCCCACTGACCAAATCTGAGATAATTTTGGCAATAAATAAATATAGATAGTAAAGGATTAAACCATTTAATCATATGAGAATCCCTAAATCCACACTAATGAATGAATTAAGCAATCAATTAATGAGTAAAGGGAAAGCTCCTCCTTAAATTCCAGCTAATAAATACAGAAGGAATAACGGAATTACAATATCATCTTTTGGCAATCAACACAGTAATCATTTTTAAACAAGAATTATTAACAGATATTAAAATTACTAAGCATAAGAAGTTTGAGAAAAAGGATATTTACAGTTTCACAGTATGTCCTCACAGTATCTTTTTTTTTTTTCTTTTTAAATAGAGACAGGGTCTCTCACTCCTGAGCTCAAGCATTTCATCTGCCTTGGCCTTGGATTATGGGCATAAGCTACCGCACCTGGCCCACAAGGTATTTACCAAGTCAAAGGGAAAAGTACTAATTTTATTCTTATTTATTATTAAATCATAGTTGTGCACATTAATGCAATCCATGGGGTACAATGTGCTGGGTTTTTAAACATATTTTAGAGACAGTGTCTCACTTTGTCGCCCTCAATAGAGTGCTATGACGTCACAGCTCACAGCAGCCTCCAGCTCTTGGGCTTAGGTGATTCTCTTGCCTCAGCCTCCCCAGTAGCTGGGACTACAGGTACCCACCACAACACCTGGCTATTTTTTTGTGGCAGTTTGGCGGGGGCCAGGTTTGATCCCACCACCCTCGGTATATGGGGCCAATGCCTACCCATGGCGCTGCCCCAATGTGCTGGTTTTATACACAATTTGAAATATTTTCATCAAACTGGCAGGCAACCTGTAAAAGACTGAAACTGGATTCACACCTTTCACCATTAACTAACATAGACTCTCACTGGATTAAAGATTTAAAATTAAGATATGAAACTATAGGCTCGGCGCCTATAGCTCAACCGGCTAAGGCGCCAGCCACGTACACCTAAGGTGGCGGGTTCGAATCCCCAGCC